AGGAAAAATAAATAAATGGGATTATATCAAACTAAAAAGCTTCTGCACAGCAAAAGAAACATCAGAATGAAAAGACAACCTACAGAGTGGGAGAAGATATTTGCAAGGTATGTATCCAACAAAGGATTAATAGCCAGAATATACAAGGAGCTGAAACAATTTAATAGAAAAAATAAATAACCTGATCAAAAAATGGGCAAAGGAGCTGAATAGGCATTTCTCAAAGGAAGTTATGCAAATGGCCAACGGACACATGAAAAAATGTTCAACATCACTCAGCATCAAGGAAATGCAAATCAAAACCACATTAAGGTATCATCTCACCCCAGTTAGAGTGACTATTATCAAAAAAACAATAACAAATGCTGGCATAGATGTGGAGAAAGGGGAATCTTCCTACACTGTTGGTGGGACTGTAAATTTGGTGCAGCCATTATGAAAAACAGTATGGATGTTCCTCAAACAACTACAGATAGANTAAATTTGGTGCAGCCATTATGAAAAACAGTATGGATGTTCCTCAAACAACTACAGATAGAACTACCATAAAATCCAGCAATGCCACTGCTGGGTATATACCCAAAGGAATGCAAATCATCATGTCAAGGGATACCTGCATTCCCATGTTCATTGCAGCTCTATGTGCAATAGTCTAGAGTTGGAACCAACCTAACTGTCCACCATTGGATGACTGGATAAGGAAAATGAGGTATATTTACACAATGGAGTACTACTCAGCCATAAAAAAGAATGAAATTCTGCCACTTGCGGCAATGTGGATAAACTTGGAGAAAATTACGTTAAGTGAAATAAGCGAGGAACAAAAAGAGAAATACCACATGTTTTCACTCATAAGTGGGAGCTAAAAAAGAAATAAAAAAAGAAAGAAAGAAGAAAGGTACAACAATCACAACAACACACTGAACTTTCAAAAGGAGAGAACAGAACTGAAGTTACCAGAGGTGAGAAAGGGGGAGGGGAAGGGGGGAAGGGGAGAATTGGTAAAGGGCCATGAAAAATGATTTCATTGTATAATACTGAATATACTAATTATCCTGATTTTAACACCACATATTGCACACAGGTATTGCTATTCAACTCTGTACCCCACAGATATGTACAATCAAGTATGTTTCAATAAAAAATAAAATACAATTTTTTAAGAAAGAAAGTAATAGGACAGAAAAACATGCTGAAGTGAGTGATCATAAGGCAGTTGGAGTGGCTACATTATTAACATCAGATAAAGTAAACAATAAGATATTTACATAGTCTTAAAGTACCTTCCCACAAAATATTTATTGATTACAAAAATGAAATTGAGCAAGTGAACATTAGCATGAGTGGGAAAAATCAAGACTGTGACACATAAAAGGATTTAATGAGAAGAACACAGCATCACTTCTGTGGTATCTCTGGCAATATGAATTGCCTAAATCTAATCAGGAGCAGATACCTAGCAAACCCAAACTGAGGGATATTACATAAAATATCTAGCCTGTAACCTTCAAATGTGTCAACACTTCCAAAGCTCAAGAAAGACTAAAAAATTTTCCAGATTGAAGGAAACTAAATAGACTTGCCAATTAAATGCAATGTGAGATTCTGAACTTAATATCTAAGGATATTACTGGGATAATAACGGGGTCTGAGGATTACATGGTAGTGCTGTACCAATGTTAATGATTTGACTTTGGTGGTTGTATTGTGATAATGTTGGAGAATATCCTTGTTTCTAAAAACTATACACTAAAAAATATGGATGTAGTAGGGTATCAAGTCAGCAGTTCACTTTCAAATGGTTCAGGAAAAATATTTGTTGTATTGTACTTGCAATTTGTCTGTAAATGTGAAATGTTTCAAATAAAACAAACAAAAAATAGTTTATTAATTAAAGAAGAGGGTAGAGGGTAGGCAGAGTTGAGGCCGACATGTAGGGGTGACTCTTGGGCATATGGGTGCCACCAGCTGAGACAGGAAACAAAGGGTCCTGGACAAGGGCTTAGAGCAGCAGTCTCCATCACAGGAATACAGCACAATTGTGTAAGATTTATCGCAGGTACCTACTTATTCCAGTAGTTACCAGAGTTCTTGAATGACTTCCTTTGTTTTCATTAATAAGTGGGGTGGATTTGAGATGATCTCTAACATAGAAACGTAATCACTCATTTTCATTCCAATGAATCGTCTTAAATGGAAAAGTAAGAGCTGGATTTACAGCCAGTGGGTCAGACATTGTCGATGACCCTCAGCCTGTCTATGCCATAACCTGCACAGTTATTGATAAGTTACTGATTGATAAAATTCACTCACGCTATTTTATTCTTCTTATACGATCACTATGCAACAAGAAAACAACAACCCCATAATCAAAAACCTGAGAATACAACAGAACAGCTAATATGGGGCTAATAGCATCCCCTCCCTAAAAAATGGGGATATCCTGGGAATGTGTCATGCACATTATCAGCTGTCCTGTTTCTCAGATGGATATTGAGAAACCACTGTCCTGCAGAAACATGTGCACGTGCCACCTCCATCTGTGGTCTACTGTGCTAACTGCTGCCTTCCATCAACTTGCCACAGGAGAACTCCTGCCTCATTTGATGGAGTCTCTCACCATCTGTGGGCAGGGGTTTGTCATATGGCCCCTGCCAGGGCACCTGCTCAGAGACACCCAGTGGGGATTTTCAGTGGGGGTGGTGGAAGGGGGAGCTACAAGAATTTTTGACAAAGAAAAGCACAAGATCAGTGAGGATCCCCACACCAGCCAGCCGCAAAAAAAAAAAAAAAGGTACAAGTTCTGTTACTGAAGACCAAGTGAGTGAATCTGTCTAAAGAGAAAGGGTGCACATGGGTGACTCCTGAGAACTAAGGCTGCAAATGCAGGCTGTGGTGGAGAGCCTTCAACACCAGGATGAAGGGTTTTAATTTGTCCTGTGGGTAAATGGGACTTCTGGGTTTAGACGGCAGAGTTAAACCAGATCATCAAATCTCTGGTCTTTTTCTGTATGAATTTAGACAAGAGGACCACAGTTAACAAATTCCTCTATGCGTGACACATGCAAAAACATCCTTTGATTTCTGGCCACAGTGCTACTAATTCACAAAGTCCTTTTTTAACTGAGATCTATTCACTCCTGAGTACTGAGTCTCCTTCTTCCTAATTGTTACAAGGTTGGTGGGTCTACTGGTAGCTGTGGTTTCTTTACAATCGTAGTTCAAGTTCCTTTTAAATCTGTCTTGAAGAAACTGCTTCTTCTTACCTCCCTACACTGATGGGCTCAACATGCAATTGTGTGGTTATGTGATGACTTACCACGGAGCCACTCTTGGAGACCACAAGACTTCCTTCTTCATCCTGGGACCCNACTGTGCTAACTGCTGCCTTCCATCAACTTGCCACAGGAGAACTCCTGCCTCATTTGATGGGGTCTCTCACCATCTGTGGGCAGGGGTTTGTCATATGGCCCCTGCCAGGGCACCTGCTCAGAGACACCCAGTGGGGATTCTCAGTGGGGGTGGTGGAAGGGGGAGCTACAAGAATTTTTGACAAAGAAAAGCACAAGATCAGTGAGGATCCCCACACCAGCCAGCCGCAAAAAAAAAAAAAAGGTACAAGTTCTGTTACTGAAGACCAAGTGAAAGAATCTGTCTGAAGAGAAAGGGTGCACATGGGTGACTCCTGAGAACTAAGGCTGCAAATGCAGGCTGTGGTGGAGAGCCTTCAACACCAGGGTGAAGGGTTTTAATTTGTCCTGTGGGTAAATGGGACTTCTGGGTTTAGACGGCAGAGTTAAACCAGATCATCAAATCTCTGGTCTTTTTCTGTATGAATTCAGACAAGAGGACCACAGTTAACAAATTCCTCTATGCGTGACACATGCAAAAACATCCTTTGATTTCTAGCCACAGTGCTACTAACTCACAAAGTCCTTTTTTAACTGAGATCTATTCACTCCTGAGTACTGAGTCTCCTTCTTCCTAATTGTTACAAGGTTGGTGGGTCTACTGGCAGCTGTGGTTTCTTTACAATCGTAGTTCAAGTTCCTTTTAAATCTGTCTTGAAGAAACTGCTTCTTCTTACCTCCCTACACTGATGGCCTCAACATGCAATTGTGTGGTTATGCGATGACTTACCACGGAGCCACTCTTGGAGACCACAAGACTTCCTTCTTCATCCTGGGACCCACCGGGCAGGGTAGTACTGTTGAGAGAAGCATCATCTGGCTAAATGGAGAAATAAAAGCACCATTCTTATTCAGGCAAATATTCCTAATGTGTCTGTGTATTCCACCGTGTGTACATAGTGAGGCACGTGTGTAACATATGAAGTTATGGCTGCCTGCGCACGGGCGACTGCGGCCAGCCATCAGGGCAGCATTACTGTGAGCCACCTAAATGCCAGACCCTCAGAAAGGGCACTGGCCTCTGTGACAGACACTGCTGTTACTGTCTGCCACAAACTCCATCTGTCTTAACATCTTGATTTACTTCCAGGAAGTTAGGTGTTAAATCAAAAAAGCAGCTAAGAGGGACCCCGTGACAAGTGTGGCCAGCAAGTTGTTAAGTGTCATTTTATCGAAAGTGCTTCTGAGAAAGCTGAGGTTTTCATGATAAAACGAATAGGGTGAGCTGATATACACTCATGACAGGACAGCAGATGACAGCCTAGAGCTGCCAGGCATCTGCACAAACAAGGATGGTGGGCACTGCCAAGGACGGCAGGGACACAACCAGCCTGGCTCTGTCCATGCTAAGAAGACAGCACCACGCAGTTGCCCGCTCAGACCTGCAGCGCCCATATCTGAAAGCACTCCATGTGATGCAAAACAACTACTTTTTGATCACATGCAGCCAAACACAAACCTAACTGGTCTAATTTTATTTTATTTTTTAGTAGATTCTACGACTATCTTTTGTAGTGAATAGAATTCAGTAGCCATAGTAACAAGGTTTTTCATTTACAAAGGTGGAACTAAGATTTTTGCCATAGAGTACAATGGCACTATTGAAATTAAGACATGAAAATTCTTTTCTTTACCCAAAGAACCTCACTGCAAAATTGAGTATATCTGATACTTATGAAAACACAAAATATTTTGTCTTTTCAAAAACTGTTGTTCTTCATTTCACTTGAGCATATTTTCTTAATTTTCTATAGACAGTATGCATTACTTTATAAAATGAACAAATAATTGTTTTACTTTTTTTTGTGTGGCTGGCCGGTACAGGCATCTGAACTTGTGACCCTGGTGTTATAAAACTACACTCTAACCAACTGAGCTAAAATAACTTTTTTAAAAGAAACAAATAA